CTACAGAAGGAATGGCTATTTTTGTGTATTAATGTTTTACAGTTACCATGAAAGGACTGATAGCAGAATATTTGATTATTGCACTTCTGGCAATTTTTAGCTGACCAACTACTTGATAGTCTGTTTTTTCTCATTGATGTGTTATCTGTGTTGAAGACTTTTTAGCACGTGATTTAATTGCAGCCAATGAGGGCTAGTGGAACCAGGAGCCAAAAATAACCAGTCATCACAGCTGTTTTAACAAAACTTTTCAGAGTAGATTGTTGATCTCTATTTCAAGGTTAAGAAGAAATGCTGTTTTTCTGTATTTACTCCCTGTGGATTTTGAGTGCATGAGAGGCTAAATGCAGCTATCCTCCAAACTCCTGTTCTTGACCTCCTCCTTGAGTTGTGGTCTTCAACTAGCTGATGGGATTGACCACTACATGAGTAGGTAGCCCTGGGTTTGTTGACATGCTCAGAAACTCTGTAGGAGACTGGAAAAATATAAGAATTCTGGTACTTCACTTTGAAATGTGTGTGTTGATACTTAATGGGGTATCTTTATTTAGTCCTGTTTTCTCAGGTTACAGTGAAGTGAGTATGCAGATTTGACCCATGTCTTCAACTTTTTGGGCTGAAGTCAGTACTGTTTCCCCAGGAAAATCTACTACCCTGTTGCAAATGCTGTAACAATTTCCACTTGTTGGGGATACAGCTGAAGAATACAGATTCATGGCTTTCATGTAGAATTGCAAATGGGATCCATAGTGCTGCATTATGTATGACACCTTTAATACGAGAATAGAAACATCCCTAGAAGAAAAGGTAGAATAGTCACTCTTCTCTAGTCACAAACCACAGTTACCAGAGGGTTTATTCACTTGGCAAACTCCAGACTTTAAATTGCAGAAACTTGACGTTTTTTAAGGAAAAAGTCCTCTGAATGTAATATCAAATGCAAAATGCTAGTCTGTTAATAAATATCTCCAGATAATGAAGAAGCTTGAAAAAATTCGGTTATTTAATTTGCTTTAGCAAAAGAAAGCAAAAAGCATTTGTGATGATTGCCTAAAAGTTACTTCAGGCTGGTTAATCTTGATATCATCTGGCTCAGAATCCCAAGAACCTGTCATACCAGGCAAGGAACGTTGTGATTGTTTTAAACATTAATAAACCCAGACTTGTTTTTCCAAACTCATTTGCCACTAATGCAGGCTAGAAGATAATGATTTGAATTGTTCTGTGCTTAGAAATACGTTTATCGTCCCAACCTCAGTCCCACTCAACACACACACATACACACTACATTCACCTGTAGAACCCACAGTCACGAAGAGGCATTCTCACCTTGTTCTTTAGTTACTAGCTCTGTCTATGCTGTTGCTTGTAAAGAAGAAGAAAGGTAAAAAATGGGAGCCAAGTTTACAGTGATTTATGGGGACTTATGCCAGCCACACTCTCAGGCATTAGAAAGCCCGGAAAGGAACTTTGACCCTTACTGTTAACTCTCAAAACTATTTTGTTTGCTGTAACCATCTGTTACTCTTGTTATATTTGTATTGTTGTGGACAGAAACCCGAAAAGGTTTTCCTTGAGTGGCCCCTAATTTCCTGCATTGATTTTAACAGAGTTAATATTTGGAATTACCTGTAATTGTGTAAGGGTAGATACTGTAATTTCCTGTGGCTACTCCTTTTATTTGAGAGTATAGTTTTGGATGACAGCACAATTAGTGTAGAATATATGTGCAGTGCTGATATGCCCCTGTTCTGGATTTTAAAGTGTTTCATGGGTTGTAGTTTGCCAGACCAAATTTAACTCTAAGTTCTCTGTTTATAACATTGCCCAATTATCAAAGCTTGGATATATTATCACTACCAGTTACTCTTGCTGTCAATTTGTCTTGGCTCAACTATGGTTCCATTTGTACTTTACTGTAATGTAGTGAATACATTGGATTGGGTTGTTAGTTTAACAAGCTCTCTGGAGAACACTTTCATGATGATGCATGTTGAGATATGCTGGGTAGCCTTGAAGTTATTTGCAAAAACCTATAGAAATTTATTCACTAGAAATTTTTAAAATAATAAACTCTCAGACTAAAGATGAGGTAAAGATTCTCTTTTGATAATCATCTAGAACATTTGTAAACATGGGGTTTTAATTCATGAGTATCAGCCAGATTTCTTTACGGGTTTTGATTTGACAGTTTCTCTTTTCTCATATAATTCTACTGGATGGATTATTTTATGTCCTTTAAAAAAAAAAGTATTTTGTTAGTTAAGCTGTTACTGACTCTTGTGCACTCTGCAGCTCACAGTGTTGTGGGAACTCAGTGATCTTGGCCAGATACCAAGTTAGGGGTAATCAGAAACTAGAACTGACTGGACTGTTAATATTTACATTGTGCCCAGCTGGTTTAGAAAAGTACACTAATTTGCTCCTATGTCCACCCCAATCTAATACATCAAAATTTCCAGAGTCAGGGCTTGGAAACCTGTGTTTTAAAAAATGATCCCCAGGACTTTCTGGATGTTGGGAATATTCTAATATTTTGATCTATGGTCGTTACACAGCATATATGTGTTAAAATCCTTCGGGATGTACATTTAAGACCTGTACACATCATTCTCTTATTGCATTCTCTCAAATGTTACACCCTAATTTAAAAAGTTCCTCAAAAAAAAAACAAAAAAACCAAACATCGCATGTTCTCACTCATAAGTGGGAGTTGAACAATGAGAACACATGAACACAGGGAGGGGAACATCACACACCAGGGCCTGTCAGGGAGTGGGGAGCTGGGGCAGGGATACCATTAGGAGAAATACCTAATGTAGATGATGGGTGGTACAGCAAACCACTATGGCACGTGTATATCAATGTAACCTTCACATTCTGCACTTGTACCCCAGAACTTGAAGTAAAATAAATATATATATATTTTTATAATATATATATAAATCTGTTACTCTTCTGATTAGGTTAAATAGCTTGCAGTAGTCACTTGACGAATGTTATTAAGCACTCACTGTCTACATAGTCATGACTTAGTAGTAGATATCAGTGTGATTCTTGGTCCTTGGGAACATAAAATCAAGTGGAAGAGAAAGTGGCAATAATACATAATATAAAGATTTATGGTTTATGACACCTTGCTATACAGATGATTAAATTCCATTTTTTTGTTTGTTTTGTTAAACTGAGGATCACTTATTCAAGATTACTCAGCAAGTAGGGAGTGTTTGTCATAGACTTCCCACTTGAAGAGTCTAGTTGAACTGAGTCTTCTAAAAAGCCTATACTTTTCCAGAAATAAGAAGGCTTCAGCCAATAAAAACAAAGAACCCTTACATGGAAGCAGAAGTTACAGCATTTTAAGGAGCTATAGAATATAGAAGCCAGTGCCCAGAGGGTTTTTGAGGATGTTGAGGCTGTGTTAGCTTTGCATGTGCCTCGTTGTCTCTTCATGTTGCCTATTTTCATGTCACAGTTTCCCATTTGAACCTCTGGAATTTTAGTTCATTATGCTTTTTGTGGCGAATCTGACATTTATAGAAAAATTTTCAATTGAAATACTCTGCTCTCTGGTCTGACTTTTGAAACTCTGCAATTTATTCTTGACTCATTTTCAAATTCTTGCATTTCCAAGTAATACAAGCCAATGATGAATGTTCTCCTTCCTGACTGCGTATAGCATATGTTCCATATGTTTTGGCACTCAACCACTTTCCATCTAGCTATTTATTGATGTCATGTATTGTTCTTTATGTACATAAGTTTTGTTTTTTTAAGAAAGATTATGATGATCTCCCTGACTGTGGGGCTAAGCTGTGGTGACACATAGTGGGTGTTTGCTAAGTGTTCTTTGAAATCAACAATGCATGCACTTGGTTTTTCCTCTCTTTTAAACTTTCCCTCTGTCTTTTTACACACACTAAGGGTTGTTGTTGTTATGGCCTTGTTATAGTAAAGAGTAAGCGAAGAGTGAACTCCTTGGGTAGGCTCTCCAAGTCCTAAACCCATTAATCTCGGCAGCACGTGCTCTAGGAACAGGTCTCAGAGCTCTTTGGTCTTGCCCTTCTTTTCAGTGAGTAACTTAAATGATACGAATTCTTGTTGTAGGAGATGCATGACTCTACCAAGTAACCATATTTTCCTTCTGCTAGTTGTAGTCACCTGGAGACCCTTTTTAAAATAAATGTGTAACATTTGCCTGTGTGTTCTATTCCTTTATGATCACCACTGCCCCTCCTAGGGCATGTCAGTGGGGAGTGTTGGGGTATGTATCAATATCAACTTCAGATTGTGCTGAAGATCTTGATTTTACAGAATGAAATTATTGATTTTCAAGCCTTCACTCACCCAGCAACTATGTCTCTTGTATACTCTTGAATTATGCCTATGCATCAGATCTCTGGGCCCGCCAAGATTCCATAAAGGGCCTCTTCATATCATATTTCTTGTAATGAAACTAGATATTCTTTCTTGGTCAGCAGTGTTTTCTTTGTATATGAAAATGATCCTTATTTCTTCTGACAACCAGTTTATTGTTTCTTAAGGACCCTCCCGCTTCTTGTTAAGTAAGGCTAGTTTTTCAGTAAATTCCATGGTAGAGTGACTGCTGAGACACCAGCCTAGGAGAGAGTACTCCTGCTTATCATTCTGTGGAAGAACACATCTCCCAAACTTGTGGGTAATTTCCTCTCACCTAGATCTGAATTCTAATTAAATTGTTATTCTTCAACTTGTTATTATGTGAGATTTGACTTTTTTTTTTAATGAAAAGCATGTTATAATGTAGAAAGACTATGCATCTCTGTAGACTAAATTGCTGAACTAAAATTAGGTCCTTAGAATTAACCCACCACCACCACCACCGTCTTTCCTCCTGCTACTCCTCATGTATATTTGTAGATTGATCTTTTCCTTTTTAAGTTTCTCTTTACTCAGGAAAGCAGCTATATGGTCATGTAAAGGATGTGTCCTGACTGATGCACCTGCCTTTCTGTTTCTAGGTGGGCCATGCACAGACACAGCTCATGTCTCATTAATCACACCAACAAAAAGATCCTGTGGTACAGGTATGTACATCATTCTTATGTGAATTTGTCCTTATTTGAATTCTTTACAGAAGTCAGCAGCTCGTTCTAGCTTGGTGTGCTTGTCAGGGTCCTCTCGTTTCTTCCATCAATTGTGAGGTGATATACGTGCTTAGTATTGACAGTGGAGTATCAGCAGAGATCAGAGTGATGTTCTTGGAGAGTTAGATGGACTGAGTAAATGCTGGCAGCTAGATCCAAGACGGTGGACATCAAAATACACATACTTTCTAACATCTGAAGAACGTTATTAAGACTTAACAGAAATGCAGATCATTGCCCAGTTTGTAACATGTAGCTAATCTGAGGGCCAGGATTGAAATGTTAATGAAAGAAGTTTTAATGTAGGAAATCAGTGTTTTAATTGACTATTGTAGTATTCTAGTATTTTTGGAAAATTATTTTCTGTCATTTGATTTAAGCCATGGATATACTGAGATTTCTCTTTTTAGATGCACAGAGTCCCAAAAACATCTTTGTGCATCTGTGACATTTTTATTAAACATGTAGTCATGAATCTTGTGGCTTTCTAAAGAGCAGTCACAATACCCATTGTTCCCTTTGCCTATAGCTTAATTTATTTTAAGCAATATTTGCCTTTTCTAATAATGGTGTCTGCTATTTAACATATCTCAAGGATTGTATTTGGAAGAGTCAAAATAATTATATTGTTTTTCTAAAGGTCACGTCAGAGTATTTTTCATAACTTAAAAAAAACTCTTGTAACTCCCCGGCAGAAATAGCATAAACTATTTCCATATACAGACTTACACTGAAACCTCAGCTCCTTTTAATGCTCATAGTTTGATGCTAGACCTCAGTCAGGTCCGTGTTTGCATAGTTTCAAAGTAACATCCAGACACTGAACTCTAAACTTAATTATACTCTTCTCTTCCAGATGACCAGCTTTGAGACAGGGTGGTGGGTGTGAGATAGTCTTTTCATGCAGTTATCCCTCCTGTGCCCAGTTTCCAAGCTCCACTAGGTAGAGTAGGTTTCTCTATTTTCTTGAGATAGAGATAGACCACCCTGATTTTAGCCAGTGGGAAGTCAGAGAGCCAACTACCTGCCCATTCCAGCCAGAAGCTTGAAAACATTCAGAGTCCTTTGATTTTCAGTCCAGCACTTCAGATGCATCAGTACTTTAGTCTTTTGTCTTTCCTTCCAACGTTGACCCTCAGAGAAGGGTTTACTGTTAGCATTACCACCATGTTCAGGCAGCAGTCAAGGAGTTGAACCTTGAACACACTGGGTCATCCTGAGAGGTTTGGGAAGGAGACTCATGTACTCAGATGCTGAAACTAGCAGGAAACTCTGGTGAATATCATGTTCTTGTGTCCATCTTTTAGGTAGACCTATTTCCTCCTCTGTGATCCTATACTATTTTGTGTTCCTAAAACTAATAATGATATTTATTATATGCTTATTACATTGCCAGGCACTACTCAGCATACTTTATATACATAGTGATTTAATCTTCAGAACAGTTCTGCAAGATAGTTGTTATTATTCCTCTTTTACAGATGAAAAAATGTGGGCACTCAGAAACTTAAGTATATTTTCTGAGGTAATATTGCTAGTAAGTGATGGAGCCAAGACTTGGACACGGATCCCTTTTTTTTTTTTTTTTTTTTTTTTTGAGACAGAG